TGAGGGATGGGTCCCTTTCTGAGTGGGTGGGGTGGACCAAGCTGTTGCCATGGCCGTGCCGCCTGTGTTGGGTCCCAGTTGGGCCTCCAAGGCCAGATGTTCTGGCCCACAGGCATGGAGCCATCCTACCTAGCCAGGCAGGGCACAAGCAGTGTACAAGGTCAGCATTAACCTCAGGCCCTGGGGAAGGGGGGGCTCTACCACCTCCCCAGGGAGCAGGGATGAGGGAGAGGAGTGCAAGAAACAGGGGAAGGAGAGGGAGCTTGGAGCCCAGTGGTATCACTGCATGAAAAGCACTGAGGGAAGCAGCGACTGGGCAGGAGCCCATGGCCTCCACAAGGCCGGTGGACCACCAGTTGGAGAGCCCTAGTTCACATCAGTTCCCCCTGGCAGGTTAGCTTCAGGGGCAATGGGGACAGCTCTGGGTCTCATTCAGGGGACACAGTCTAAAAGCTCACTCCTTTGAATCTAAGTTTCTAAACAAAGGCTTTACAACAAAAAAAACCATTAAAATTATTTCCCCTTTTTAAACAGTTTTTCTTTCTTTTTTAATTACACTTTAACAGGGCTGCTATAGAACTAGGAAGTAAAACTCAGGGGGGACTGATGTCAGGCTGCCTCCGTCACCCTCCCAGCTGAGAGAAGGTCAAAGGGGAAGCTGGTGGGCTAAATGGGGAAGGCAAACCAAGCCGGGAAGTGCAAGTTTAAACGGCCAGTGTCATTAGTCTGGGGCAGCCTGAGAGTCAGCCCTGTCCACGGGGCGGAGGCTCTGCTGGGCCCGAGATTGAGGCTCTGCTCCTCTAACCCGCTGTGCAGCCTGCAGCAAGTCACTCCCTGGTCTAAGCTTCCATTGCCCACCTCATCCTCTCTCTGCCTGTCTCGCTAGACTGCAACCTCCTTACAACAGGGGCTGTGCCTCCCTGTACAGCATCCAGCATCAGTGAGTCCTGATCTCTCCTTGGGCCCAGCTGTAACGCAGACAATGGCCTACTGACATTTGTGACATGGGGGCTCTGGTCTGACAAGTTCTGGTTAAAGGAGGGAACGATGAGAAAGGAAAAGTGAAGGGAGATGGCAACCTGGAGGGAAGCATATGGATGACACCACACCCATAGGGGCTTTTGTTGCACCCCCAGGGATGGTAAACGCTGGCAGGAGAGGTGGCAGGACTCAGCTGTTCCCACCCTGACCACTGCAGAGGTTCATAAACATGGCAAAATGCCAGAGACCAGCATTTCCCAGGCAGCTGGGTCAGCACAACCAGCCTCCTCCAGCCCCACTGCCTCGTGCTAGGTAATGGGAGCGAGGGCTGACACACAGGATGGTCCAGCAGGGCAGGAAGGGAGCTGGAAGCCACATGCGATTTCTGTCTCTGTAACCTCTAGAGAGACTTCTCCATAACCCTCGCCTTTGCCTGACTCAGCATTTCTGAGGTCAATAAAACTGCAGTCGGAAAAAAGTGGGCCTAGCAGCAGGTCTTTGTGGGACAGCCGTGCAGGCAATTACAAGGCATCCCAGCTAACCAGCTGCAGGTGAAACCTGGCAGGAGACTGCACAGGGCTAGGGCAGCCCTGATTTGGGGGTTTCTGCAGCCAAATATGGTTTTCCCTAGAGGGAGGAAGGGGGGGAGGGACAAACAGTCTGGTCTGAAAAGGCAAGTTGGCCCCTGCGTATTATGAAACAGCCTTGTTTATAACTTTGGGCTGGGCGAAGGACAGTGCTTCCATCCAGTTCTCTGCATCCAAAGGAAAGAAAAAAGCAAACCACCCAGCCCCTCCCACCAGCTTGGATAGAGCGAGCAGTGGGCACAGGCTAGCATCTAGAGAGAGAGAGATACAGCAGCCCCGGCAGTACAGCAGGAGGGAGAGATCAAAAAAGTGATGAGGTGGCATTGCCTCATCATCAAAATTCTCCTCCGAAAGAGACTCAGCAAGGCAAGCCACGCGTCCCCTGCTCCCCCCTCCCCACTGTCGCTGCCAGGGACAGCTCCACGCCAGGACACAGCCCGCAACCGCACACAAGAGAGACACCATCCCTCAGCCCCTCCACAGACCTGCCATGCAGGAGACTTATCTGATGCGTGAGAGTGCACAATTGCGTGTGCATGCAGTGTTTGCATATGTGCCTCTGCATACAGTGCACACCCCTCCCCCTCCCCACATACAATGCATACATTATATTGTGTCAGGCCGCCCCAGGCCTGCTGGTAGATTCACTCCCAGGGCAGGGAGGTACATCTGTCCTCGGCTGCTGCCAATGCCAGGCCCACTCGAAGCTGGAGCTGGAGCCGGAGCTGGTGCAGGGTGTTGATGCGGCTGGCGGCCTGCCCCGGCGAGTCAGTGCATTATCAGCATTCCCCAGCAAGCAAACGTGGGGCCTGCGAGCCACACGCCTCTCTGCTGCGCTGCTGGGCTAACGCCCCCTGCACCTGCCAGCCAGTTGGGGACAGGCAGGGGCGGCATTTTTGGGGTGCTGAAGGGGGCAGGGAGGACAGGAAATGACACAACAGGGCATGCATAGGCACAAGTGCCCCTTTGGGTCCAATCCAGCAAGGTGCTTAGAGGTTAAGGTGAGGGCCAAATGCTTCCTTGGCAGCAAGGTACTCCCTTATCTCACACGTTGAATCCCATGAGCTTCTCCACCCAGAAACCTATTTATGTCACACTAAGTTGCTCCAAATTGACACCCACATGAGGGTGATCTGGCCCCTCCCCATAGTTTACTTGCGGGGTGGGGATCCTTCCCACGATGCCCCACTGTTATCGAGGCACTGAAAGGGATGGTCTTCCTTGAAAGCAAAGCCATCGGGGCTCCCAGGGCTGCAAACACTGAGCCGCTTGGCTCCTCCACCACCAGCCCACACAACCGCTTGGCACAGCCACGACAGACCTGGGTGGAACCCCCGGCTCCAGCCTCGCGCTGCAATCACAGGCACAGAGGCTAGGAGGAGGAGGGCGCTTTGTAACACTTGGACGAGCTGGAGTTGCTCAAACAATATGCCCTTTCTTTGGTGCTCCCATAGCAGGGGGAAGCGCAGACGGCCCCTGACTAGAAATGCTGCTGGGGCAAGCATGCCGCCTGATTTGCTGGAATGGGCTGGAGGTGAGAGGGAGAGATCTAGCCCCAAGCCCTTCCCAGATCCTGGAGGACCACGCAATAGCAGCAAGAGCAGCTCTGCTCCTGGAGGGTTTGCAGACACAGTGAGTTCAGAGAGGTCAGGCTGGGCGGCCTGCACTTGGCTCCCTCCCTGCAGCACAATTGTCAGATGGGGCAATCAATGCTCACTGCCCCTTGTTCTGATCCCAGCCCCACTGAGCAAAGCAAATCTCCCTCCACCAGGCTGAGAGCATTTGGGGCTGGGACCCACCTCCCTGAGACCCCCTAATTCCCATGGACTCTCAAGCCCCCAGGGTCTCTACAATATCCCATCTCCAGCCATGATTACTGATCCCGGACCCCCTTCAAAGACACCTGAGAGCTATTCCTATCTCTAAGAGGCCCAAGTACCTCCACACTACACCAGGGCCCCTTTAAGACACTGCTTGTCAGCTACCTGCAACCACTCGTCAGTTTGGAAAATGTGGGCTTTTATATCTACTTGCCTGGCAAGATGGAAATTAGTCACTGCAGGAGAGTGGGCGAAGAGAATTGTGCAAGATTTGCCCAGCCGACCCCCTCCCCCACCCAGCTGAAAGTGAAGCTTGTGCAATTCCCTTCCCCTCCCCTAGCCCCACGGCAGAACACGCCAGTGCCCCCAGGTCCCACCCGCCCTGCATACCTCGTGAATCGGACTTTGCAGATGTTGCATTCATAGGGTTTCTCGCCCGTGTGGGTCCGGATGTGGCGGGGAAGCTTGCCAGCCCCCTGGATCACCTTCTCACAGATGGGGCACTTCTGGAATGCTTTTGCCCTGATCTTCTTCTCCTTCTGGGACCAGGACGGATACACGTCGTTCTCATTTGAACTGCTGAAGTATTTCAAGTAATAATCCATGACCCCATCATCATCCTTGCGGTCATCATCGCCTAGCTGCTGCCTCCCCACAGAGTTGATCATCTGCTGCAGCAGGGCGCTGGCAGCCAGGCTGTCCACATCCCTGGTGTCGGCATCCTCTACTTCTGCCCCCCCAGGAGCAAAGCTGGGGGAGTCGCCGGCTTCCTGCTGGTCCAGAGGCCCCCCCTGAGCCGCGTCATCTTCTCCTGGGGCTGGCAGACTACGTCCACTGTAATGTCCATTCTGGGAAGGTGGGAATAAGGACCCAGCAGTCTCCTCTTCGTCTCTGTCCGGCCATATGTCCTGGTTGCTGTCGGGGTCACAGTCGTTCACCTTTGGTCTTTCATTTAGGGGGGCTTGCGAGTAGAAGTCCATGCCGTTGCATTCTGACTCCTCCTCTTCCTCTTGGCCTTGGAAGTTCAGTCTCTGAAGGTCTCTCAAGTCTTGGTTGGTCCACGGAAGGCTGCCTTGGTGGCCATTGATGGGGTTGCTCTGGAAGAACTCCAGGTACTCTTTTGCTCTGAGATGGTTCCTTTGATCAATTTGATCTACTATATCCATCTGGTCATTTTTGGCCAGAATCTTCCTGTCCAGGAGATCCGTGCAAACATCGCTTACCGCCTGGATCTCCAGTAGTTTGGCGGCGTTGAGGATGTCATTGACGTTCGAAGTGCTGACGGTAAGGGTTGCGGTGTAAGCGAACTCGAGCAGAGCTGACAGGGCGTCCACGCTCACAAAGTCTATCTCATACAAATTTTGCTGGTCCACCACTAACCCTGAGGTGAAGAGCTTCTTGAAGTACTGACTGCAAGCGGCCAGGACAGAGCGATGGGTGGGGAACTCCTGCCCATCCACCAAGATGACCACATCGCACAGCAGCCCATTGTTCCTCTGTTCATTCAGGCTGCTCAGGATGTCACTGCTGTGATCAGGGAACGGGATCCCTATGGGACCGTCCACGCCACCCTCCATCTTCGACACACAGGACTGAGGAGAGACAAGAGGAAACACGGTAAGTCATGGAGGCCTCCACTTCCAGAGAGCTCTTGTACCTGAACAAATCATCTCCTGACACAGCACTTTCCTTCAAATACAAGACCCCTTCACACGCAAGACACCCCCAGATTTTTTTAAACTTAAACATAAGGGAGAAAGTAAAACATCCAACAAAGGCACATTGGCAAGGACACAACCTCCATAGTGCATGTAGGAGCTTTTGCTTTATTATTTTGAATGCAAATTTAAGACGCAAGCTGTTTTCACAAGAAAGACCTGGTTTTCAATAGTGCCTGTTACACTGGAAGGAATATGGTTGGTTTTATTTATTGGCCCGTGCATAAGCATCCATGTAGCAGCAAATATCCCCCTTGTGCTGAGCCCTTCTTCTGTCATAACTTGTCCTGCTTGTTAAATAGTGCCAGGGTCCTGCCATAAAGCTCCCGACCCTACAAGGGCCTGGGGACTGTGCATGAGAAGAGGGGGCACCAGCCTGCCATAGCTGAAGACCAGAGGAGGGAAGGGGAGGGAGGCGGAGGGTGGGCAGAGGTGGCCTCAGCCTGGCTGTGGTATAACTTCTGTGGAGGACTGAAAACCCAAACAGATGCAGAGTGAATCTCCTCTTACCCCGGCAATCATCCTGTATCTGAGCACCTCGGAACCACGAACGGGTCTATCCTGACATCCGCCCTAGGAGGGAGGAAGGTCTCAGGATGGACCAAGTGATTTGCTCTGGGTCCCTAGTGGCCCCGTGGCAGTTAATGTACTAAGACCTTGCCAGTCCCAGCCCAGCACACTCTGTGCTAAAGCAGCCTTGTATCACAGGAGGGAGAAGACACGACAAGCAGCTGTGTGTGCCTGTGGTTCATGCTGCTGCATGGCTGAGCCCATTCCCTACACAGCACTGCCAAGGACAGCGCCCGCCTTTGCTCCCCCTGGGCCCAGCCCCTGTGTACTCTGTGTGCTCCTGTGCAGCCCCCAGTTAGGTGCCTCACATCCCCCACCCCCCAAGGGCTGGCTGAGCTCCTGGCGTGCCAGCTGGGCAGGATTACACCCTCCCACCCCGGCAGGCTGGAGGGGAGGACCTGGCAAGGGTCCCTACCTATCTGATTTCACACAGGACCCCCAGCCCCCACAGCTGTGCCATCCTTCCCCTCCCCTCTCTTAACAAACCCAGCTGCTCTCCAGCAAGAACACCCTGAGGTGGCACGAAAGGCACCAGCCGAGCGACTCAGCTGCTCCTGGAGGGCTGGCGAAGTGCTGACGGCGCAGAAGCCCTGGGCGAAGGGCAGCGTCCCGCCCCCCCTTCACCTTGCAGCCCAGGCCCACAGATATCGCTGGGAAGGGGAACGGCAATTTCCTACAGTGACGAGGCTCTTTTGGGGCACCGGCAGGAGAGCAAGGCCAAGCCGCTCTGCTTAGCTTGAACTACCTTTCCTCGCTGCAGCTGAACAACCCTCATGCAAGCAATTTGCCAGCCAAAGAGGGGCAACCTGTGGCTGAGGGGGGAGCAGAAAAGCCCCAGGTCAATCCCCAGTTCGTTTTGGCCGTGCCTCCACCCTGAGTCTGCCAGAGAACAAGTCCACCTGCCCCCTTGCTCTACCCAGGGTGCAGCAACCAGTCACAAGGCAGCGTAAATGGGGCAGGGTCTGCCCCAGCTGGGCCCCAGCTCCTGCTAGGGCTGTGCTCAGGCTCTGTGTACATGGCGAGCCATGGGGCTGCTCCGGAGTTGTTTACATGACCTGGCTGCCAGCCCGGCATGCCCCCGAGCGGGAGCGAGCAGGCTGGGCCGACCTCTGTAGAGACGTGGCCTTAAATCTCTCCAGGCCCAAGTTTCCCCACTCTGTGCAGCTCTTTGCCCAGCTTGACTGTGGGGTCTCCGGGGTAGGGGTTGCCTCTCGTGGCACAGCCCCTGGCACAAAAGCTCCCATTACACTTAGACCCCCGAGGTATTATGATAATAGAAACAGGAAAGCAGCTTTTGCCTTTGAAAAGCACCTTCCCGGCCCAGCTCTCAGACTACTCAAACCACCCGGGTGAGCAACATCATCCCTGCCTTGTCAACAGGAAAACTGAAGCACGGGGCAGGGACCCGATGCACCTTGGTGCATGAAGCAATTTCTGTCTGTAGGTGCTGGCACTGGGACATGGCAACCAGCCACAGCACCTGAAGCAGTCAAACAATATCCTCTGTGCGCGCACGCTTTTATCTGTTACTAATTTTCTTTTTGACTCTCTCCAGACTGAACCTTTTCTCATAACATCCCTGCGTAAGGGGAAGGCATGTTTTCACACCTCCTGCTGTTCACTCCTCATTCAAAGAGCATGAATAGCCACATCAATCCCAGCACAGAGGCGGTTCTCACTCGGCAACACCCACATCCATCCAGCACGAAGGTGTAGAAATGGCTCCGATAGAAGGTTACAGGCATTTGGAAGTGCCTGATACAGTCGATTTCATTAAGAGCTCTACCTAAGCACAAGAGAGATTGATTTTAATGGCAGGAATGGGTTTCAGAGCCGGAGACAGGTTTGTTGGAGACAGGTTTGTTGTGCACATGTGTCCGGATGTCACTTCCCAGTGAAATCAATGGGATCCTGGCCATTGGCCCCAGTAGGAGCTGCCAAACCAGGCTGAGTGTAGCATGTCATACGGATCACGACAGAAGTGGCTTCTCACGCTGTATGCAGGACCCGGCTTCATGGGGTTTGAAATCCTCCCTGGCTGGAAAGGAGGATTTCATTTTGGCAACGAAAAGGGGCAGAACATTGTCCTGAATCAGGGAGCCTGGGCTGTTGGGCTGGTGTTGTTTGTTCAGAGAGAGGTGAGGTTAGGGCTGAGCGCTGAGAGGGGACTTGTGAAAATGGGGCCCAGCCCTTCACTTTGCTGTGGGCTGTGTGACCTGGGGAAAATGGCTTCATCTCTCTTTCTGCCTCAGCTTCCTCATCTGTAAAACAGGGCTAAACAATCCTTCCTGACCTCGCTGGGTTTTCTGTCCATTTGCTGGTGATCCTGAAGTGCTCAGACAGTACAGAGAAGAGGCTCCTAAGAGCACCCAGCTATATACAGCTGGCCTGATTTACCATTAGCACAACCCCCTAAGCCAGCAGGGGCCAAACTTTTTGGCAGGGGTGTCACAAGCTAAGCCCCACATGCTCCCCAATTGCCACTCCGATCCCTTTCCCCTGCCCAACAGGCTGCTCTGCTCCCTCCCTGATCTGCCACATGCCATGCACAGGGACTGCACACCCACACGGGCCACTCCTGCCTTAAGTCATCCATGTCTGTAAAGAGACATTACTGTCACCTTGTTGAGGGGGCCATCACTCTGGCCCTACCAGTGAGAGCCAGGACAGCGTGCTGGATTAGGCAGTGCAGGAGCTTTTTGCTTCCTAAAGGGAATGGGACTGTGTACAAGACTGAAGCTCCAGGTAACTTATTTTCTGGGCAGCCTACCCACATCATATACCCCACCAGCCCCAAGCCAGGCAGCCAGGCAAGAGTTAACTGCCACTTGCCATGGGGACTGGGACAATCAGCAGGATAGTGTGGGAACGGCTGCAGGGTCATGAGACTCCCAGCGTTGGCATGGAAAGTGGTACACTTCGCAACTTATTCTACTCGCACAACGTGCCTTTTGTGTCCGGCTGCGGTTCAGATTCACAGCAGCCGAGAAGGCAAGGGGGCCCGAAACAATGCCATTCCCCTGCGATTCCTTCCAGCCTCCAAGCTCCCTGGGGTGAACGGCTGCACCACAGCAGCAGCGGTCAGAGCGTCTAGCCAACAGCTTCCAGGCTCGGTACCTGGTGTCCTGCTCAGGTCCTTGAAACGGGAAGCAGAAATGGCAGCCCATTGCCTTCCTAAGGGAAGCTGAATGGCAAGGTCCTTCCAGAAGGGCTAGGACTAGGTGGCTCAGGGGATGAGTAATGAAACATGGGGCTTTCCACTTCTACAGTTTCTAAAAGCAGCCCAGGCCGGTAGCAGTGGAAAGTCATCTTTGTCCTACGGCCTAGTTTGAATCGAGCATGGGGGGTGGGGACGGACTCTGGGGCTCTAAACAGGCGGATGTGTGCACGATAAAAGCCATAGGCATAGCTGCCAGCTGGCCCCAAGGTGGTCAGCGTAAGGTCTGATGGGCCCAGGAGAGGAAACATCCATTACAACATAGCTATGACAATCCAACTCCCGGTATAGATGTACCTATGCCAGCCTGACCAACCTAATGCACTGAACTCTAGCGCTAATGGGCTTAAAGGCACCTCAAGAGACCATCTAGTCCAACCCCTTGCGCTGACACGGGCTCAAATGTACCTAGGCCTCCCAGCCAGGTTTGTCTGACCTGTTTTCAAACCCCTCAAGGAAATTCCATGGGCTCCCGAGGCAGCCTGCTCCAGTGCTTCCCTACCCTAACAGGGAATACTTCCTAGCATTCAGCTTAATCTCCCTGGACAAAGCCTGCATCTTCAGGATAGTGAAACTAATAAGGCAAAAAGCACAATCAAAGGTACAAATGAATGGGTAAAAAAAAGAAATACTTCCCAACAGGCGGTTGATTGCTTTCAGTTGCAATAATCCTAGCTGCAAACTCATAAATCATTGCCACACTTAAGGCCGACTTTACCTTAGAGCGGAAGATTTACAATGAAAAGTTTCTTTTAAAATTACATTATTACTTTCTTTCAGACTAAAGTCAAATTAGCTACTCTTTCTTCAACAGGCAGAGAAATAAAAGTTAATTAAGAATTACAATGGAGCTGGCTTTTATTTAATTAACAGATCCAAACTGATCACTACAGCAGCCATCTGAGATTTTCTGAATTCAAGCCACGGGGTCCACATCAAGTCAGGATCCAAATAAGGGACAGCTGACATCAGGCTGGTGCACTGCTGGGGTCCTCCTGATGTCCTAGCTGGTTCGATTGAATTCTGCCTCCCTGCTGTAATGTAAAGTTGCCCTGGATGAAAGGAGGAGCCTGATGAACTCATGAGA